GTTTCCTTGGCGGTGAGACAGGTAAGCCCCATTGCACCCAAAAGATTTACCATGTTCTTGCTTTGTGAACACAGAAAATGTTCTGAAGACGTATGTGGACAGGGGTTTGGTTCTGATCTGTTGTTGCTTGCATGCTTATTGGTCCATTTCCACTGCACTTAGTCACTGCATGCCCAGTATTTGGCAATGAGTTTTTGCTCCATGACTGTGAGAAACAGAGTGAACAAAAAGTAGTGGAAAAACTTCGGCTAGCACCATACGGTTGGATTCATTTCTACTTTGTGGTTTTTCTTTGGAGGAAGACTTTCATCTCTCCTGAGGAAGAGACCACGTATTTCCCAAATAAGAGAGTGTTTTCTTTGACACCAAGTGCTTTGAACATCGCTTCTCATCAGATGGTTTGAATATGTTATCAAAAATAAGTTCTTCACATTTTATAGAAGAGGAACTCAATACCTAAATTTCCAAGAGGTACAGTGACTCAAGTGAAATAAACCTATCAAAAGCATGTTAGAAGGGAATAAGGTATAGAAAAAGTATGACTCCTAGCAAGTACTTAAGAAATCTCATTTCTTCTGCAGTCTCATGACAATGTTACTCCGTAGGACAAGTCTGTCATTTCCCTCCTTCTAGCGAGGTTCTTTTCCTCCAAGATCCACGATAAAATAAGCACCAAAAGGCATTCTCTTGCACAAGTCTGACAGAAGAGGTGAAGGGAATGCATCGTGCAGAGCGGAGCCAGCCTCATAGCAGGGCACACTGGAAAACAAGAGCTCCTTGACATCCTGCTGATGTTTTAAATGAATTCCTTCTGCTTCAACATACAGGTAGACATAGTACTAGAGAGAGGAAATCAGCGGGAGTACTGCTAACTGTGCAGCCGTCTCCCAGAATGCTTCATTTCTTTTTACTCAAACAGTCCTTACCATTATCAATGGAACCCATTTAACGAGTCTCAGCAAAAAGGCATGTGTTAGGCTGTCTTGGAAGTTCACAGAATCTTTGGGCTTCTGGCATCACTTCTAGGAGCTGGCTGATGAAGGTTCCTGCTGACCTTAGTGATACCAGAGCAACCTCAGCCATGATTCTGAATATGAGATGCTGTCACATTGCTCCCAGCCGCAAAGACGTCATCTGAACTGACTTGTGTAGGCATTTGTCACTGTGTTGCAGGGAAAATAGCTGCTGACTTTGAGATCAGACGTGATAAGCTTGTGGTCTCCCAACAATGAAGAATGAAGTCCCAAGCCAAAGGAAAAGGTGAGGTGAGAGTTACTGGAACTCAAAAGAAGAGATCCTGGACTTCCAGGAGGGGTCCTGTGGGAGAGGCCCTGAGACTCCTTGTCAAGGGTGACATACACCGCCAAGTCACAGTGTGGGTGCATGGTAGGTTAAACTTTGGGATCACAAGTATATTACAAGTACAGTCACTTAGCTAATATTGATCCAATAGAGAAGTGAGTCAGTGTGCCTGGAAACGGGGTACATGGAAGCAACAAAGGCATTCTTGGAAAGGGTCCTGTCCAGCTGTTCTCTGCTCCCCCACCTAGGAATCTACTGCCTGTCTGGTCTGGTGCAGGTGGTGCTAGCTGCAGCACAATCACGCATTGCTATTTGCCTGTAGGGAGTGCTGCAGGCCTGGACGCTGCCTCCAGCCTGAGGCCTGGCTCTCCTCAGATTCACCCCACCCCCACCCCGGCGGTGGGCTCACCTCCTGTGCTGACGTCCTCGGGGCCAAGTCTCTCTCTGCCTGCACAGTAGTGTCTGTCTGACTTAGCTCTCTATAATAACTGCTGTCAACCACAGAAACAAGTGAGTGGTTCCACCAGAACCAGCAGGGTGCACTTTCCGTGTCTGTGTTGTTCCTTTGTAAAATTAATTGGCAAGTCAAAGTGCACAGAGGAGTCTACTATCTGTTTGGGATTGAGGCCAGGAAGCTAGGGAACAGGAACAACTCATTACCTCTACCTGAAAGGCCAGCCTTCAGTAAGGGGAGTGGAGGATTCAGGAGTAGGAACCTCTCTTAATGAAAGATGGTCACTACACCTATGCAAAATTATCACTATCATTTTTAAACATATATAGGAAAACCAGAAGAAAACTACATACTAGCCATCTTCTTTAAGTTGTGTGAGGGTTTTCATTTTTACTGGTTTATGCAGATGGCAGTAGCTCATTGGCTCTCAGGTACTTCCCTGGGAAGAAGTTCTGAGGTAAACCTCACATTTGAACTATAAAGCTTGCCATATATCTTGGTTGCAGTTTTTGGATAAGTAATCAAAGTAGACTTACAGTACTATGTTCTTCCAAGAGATAAAGGATAATTAGTATTAGATGAAATAAAGCCACCTGAGGGTGATAGGATTAATGAAATGTGTTGCTTTAGGAGTTGAACATTTGCTGGACTTAAGCTGTAATGCTAGATTTTGTTTTCCTTTAATGCAAGCATTATAGTTTTACCTCTTTTTTTTTGTAAAACATAATCAAATGTTGTTTTTTTCCAGGTATTTAATATTAGAAGATATTCTTCATATGCTATTTTGCCTAGGTTAATGAAGTCAATCTGTGATCTGTTCTCTTTTCTCTCCTTCTTTCATATTTGTTTGAGCTACATAGAATTACCAAGTAGGAAAGGGAGACTTTGGTAATCCAGGTGTTGTCAACCGTAAGATTATCCTAGTAAATGCTGCCCAGCAGAGCTTGGCTTTACTAGAAGTGTGCATTAGCCAAATGTTGGGTAGCGGTACATTTTCTGCAGTTCCCATTTGTACATTACTCTAGTTTTGACTCCATAATTACATGAACAGCCTTAAGCAAGCCATTCAACCTTTATATGTTGCATTTTTCCACAGTGGTAAAGGGAAAGCTGGTAGTACATGGCTTATCTCCCAAGAGCAGTAGCAAGGTGGAATTGAAAGTGTCTGTGCATGCTTTCTACTTCTGTTAGGAAAAATTACGAGATTTAAAGTTAAACGGATTATTTTTGAGTTGGAGGTGAAATTCCAGTCTTCCGTGTTTGTATCAATTTTGAATCTTTCCCCCTTCACTAGGTTAATTACACTCCCCTCGGCTTTGGGAACAGCCTTTTCCACTTCTCCACCCATATGATTCTGCAGAGATGCCCAGCTAAATCTTTCTACCCAGAGGTATGTGTTTGGGGCCTGTCACAGTTTTGTGCTTCTCTACTTCTAGTTATGCACCCAAGAGTTTGAGATATAATTTAAGCCAACCCAGTGAGTGTTCCATGCTGAAACTGGAGTATAATGAAGGAAGAGACACGCTTTCCTTCTCTAAGCCAATGGCTCGCAAACATCAAAGTTCTTCAAAATCACCCAAGAACATTAAGAAACAGGTGGTCGGTGGAAACTCTGGACCCAGAGCTTCTGTGTAGGCAGTTCTGGTGTGGCTACAGCTGTGCCCTGGGTACACATTTCTAATGAATGCACAGGTTCCATTTATGCTGTGCTTCCAAAGATTAAACTTCAGAAGTCACTCTGAGCATTAAATAACAATGGTGGGACAGCTGAAACAACCACCAACTTATTCCCCTAAAATGTGAATAAGGGCTGCTCATTAGGGTCCAGCTTTCTTTTTTATGGTGTGTCCTAAGAATAAAGCTCAAATTGCTACCTAGAAAGAAAGAAAAGCATGAGATGAGGCAAAGAGAATGGTGATGTTCCATTCAGGCTACAGAGCCAGGGGCGCTTGTACCCAACGTCACCTCTATTTTTTTCAATTACACTAATAAATGATTCCTCTACACAGCCTACTGCAGTATTTTACCCAGTTTTCAAAAAATTAAGGGAAACTAAGTTGATAGTAGCTTTGATTAATAATGTAACTTATATTTTGTATTTGCCTGGAAAATATAAAGGTATTGTGGCGTGTTTTATTCTGTTACATGCTCATGCATTGTTAGATAAAATAATATTTTTTCCAAAGTAGATTTTCAAATAGAGTTACTATTTTTATGTGTCAAAAACTACAGTATACTATGTAGTACAGCATAGTGGTTCACTGGTAATTTGCTTACTAAGAAATAGTCATACATAATGGTAAGCTGCCATTGAAGCAAATATGTAATTTCAGAAATTATTTTCTGTTTATCACTTTCAATTGACTATGGAAAGCATTCATTATTAGAGTTCAAGTTATAGTACAATAGAGATAGCATAGTATCTCATGAACTTATACTTCTTATACTGTAGCTGGGAAAATACCCACAATTAAAGGGGAATCCACTAGTTTTTTATATTTACATTCTCTGTTTTACTAACTTTGAGAGACTCCAACCATAAAACATATTGACAATCCTAAACTAATTTTGAGAAAAAGGTGGGAAGACTTAGAAGAGAGCGGAGCAGAGAAGACACAGAAGAGTTGTGATGGCCTAGCTAGTAATTAACACAAGAAGCAAAGCCTGCTTTGCAGGAGATCTTGCTTCCCCGACAGAGCCAGAATCAAAGCCTTTTCATCTTGCATTTCACCCCTTTTCCCAAGGATCTTTTATTTACACTTCACTGGAAAGTCCTTCAATTCTCATTAATGTTTTTAGTACAAAGCTAGCTCTGCCGATGATATAATTTTTCCCAAGTCTAAATTAGATTTTATACAGGGCATTGCAAAGTCAAAAGGCAGAGCTCATGCTGTGCTGTTTTACTTAGTGTGCACAGAAAAGAAGCATTAAACATCAGGAGTTGGCTTTCCTTGTCTTTTTTAGTTAAGCTTTCATAGCTTACTTAGCATATATTAAACCAAGAAGGCAGAAGTGGTCAATATTGATGATTCTTATTAGTAAACATATTTTATGCAGATTTCAAAGGGACACAAAGAGGACCAACAGTATAGAATGCATATGTTTGCAAGCAAAGAATGAGATATCTGACTTAAGTAACAATTTTTGTGTATTAGAATCATACATCAGAGGTCGCCAGAGCCGTCTCAGTGCCTGCTGTGGAGCCGAGTTTCCAGAGCCTGGGGCAGCCCACCAGGAACCGAAGATGCTGCAGCCAATCAACGTCCGGGTTACCACCATGGACACCGAGCTGAGTTGCCATCCAGCCAAATACCACCAGCAAGCAGCTTTCAATCAGGTGGTTAAGACTATAGACCTCCGGAAAGTGTGGTACTTTGGCCTCCAGTACGTGGACAATAAAGGCTTTCCTACTTGGGTGAAACTTGATAAAAACGTGTCTGCACAAGAGGCCAGGAAGCAGAACCCCTTCAAGTTCCAGGTAAGTTCTACCCTGAAGACGTGCCTGAGGAGTTCATCCAGGACAGCCCGCAGAAGCTGTTCTCCTCTAGGTGGAGGAGGGCATTCCTAGTGATGAGATCTACTGTCCCCCTGAGACAGCTGTGCTCCTGGGGTCCCACGCCATGCAGGTCAAGTTCAGACTGCAACAAGGAGGTGCACAAGGCTGAGTACCTCAGCTCTGAGAGGCTGATCCACAGAGAGTCATGGACCAGCACAAACTCACAAGGGATCAGTGGGAGGATCGGATCCAGTTGTGGCACGCAGAACACCGTGGGATGCTCACAGATAGTGCTATGCTGGAGGACGTGAAGTTTGCTCAGGGCCTGGAGATGTACAGAATCAATTATTTCAAGATCAAAAATAAGAAAGGAACAGACCTTTGGCTTAGAGTTGATGCCCTTGGACTAAATAGTTATGAGAAAGATGATAAGTTGACCCCAAAGATTGGCTTTCCTTGGAGTGAAATCAGAAACATCTCTTTCAATGACAAAAGTTTGTCACTAAGCCCATTGACAAGAAAGCACCCGACCTTGTGTTCCCTGCCCCACCCCTGAGGATTAACAAGAGGATCCTGCAGCCGTGCATGGGAAACCATGAGCCCTACATGCGCTGCAGGAAGCCTGACACCACTGAGGTGCAGCAGATGGAGGCCCAGGCTTGGGAGGAGAAGCATCAGAAGCAGCTGGAGCGGCAGCAGCTGGAGACAGAGAAGAAGAGGAGAGAGACTGTTGAGAGGGAGAAGGAGTGGATGCTGAAGGAGAAGGAGGAGCTGGTGCTGCGGCTGCAGGACTATGAGGAGACCAAGAAGGCAGAGAAAGAACTCGCCGACCAGATTCAGAAAGCCTTCCAGCTAGAGGATGAGGGAAGCGACCCAGGAGGAGGCCAAGCACCTGTAGGCCAGCTGCGTGGCTACCCTGCAGGCCAAGGCAGATCTGGAGAGACAGGCAGTGGATCAGATAAAGAGCCAGGAGCAGCTGGCTGTGGAGCTTGCAGAGTACACTGCCAAGACTGCCCTGATGGAGGAGGTGTGGTGGCACAAGGAGGGTAAGGTGGAGGAGTGGCAGCACAGGGCCAAAGACGCCCAGGACAACCTGGTGAAGACCCAGGAGAGCTGCACCTGGTGATGACATCCCGGCACCCCACTGCCGCCCATGTATGAGTATGTGAGTTACCATGTGCATGAGAACCTGTGGGAGGAGGGCGCAGAGCCCATGGGCTGCAGCACCGAGCTCTCCAGCAAGGCATCCTGGACCACTGCAACAAGGAGAAGCACATTACCACAGAGGCAGAGAACAATGAGCGTGTGCAGTGGCAGCTGCTGACCATGAGCAGCGAGTTGTCCCAGGCCAGAGATGAAAGCAAGAGGACCCTCAAGGACATCATCCACAATGAGAACATGAGGCTAGGCTAGGGCAAGTATAAGACCCTGTGCCGGATCCAGCAGGGCAACACGAAGCAGCACACCGATGAGTTTGAGGCCTTGTAGAGACCAGGGCAGTGCCTAGGGCGTCTGGAGCAGGGCTCTCCGGGAGAGTGTGGGCAGCCTGGGCACACTGGCTCTTTAGTGCTCTAAATCTAGAAACCCCTTCACAAAGTTCCAGGTCCTCTAAAGAGCTGGTACTGGTGGAAGCACTCTAGGCCGGGCACCAGCCTGGTTATTTTTCCCAGCTGTATCATAGTGCCAAAAATGACCTGATTTTTATATTTATCAAAACACTTCCTGTTGTATTCTTGGAGCAGGACAGATGGAATCACAGTACTTGTAGAATCCAAGTACAAATTCATACTCGCAGGTGTGCAAGGTTCAGTATTGTTAAATCACACTGTGCCTTACATCTGTGCCAAACCTTGAAAAAAGCTTACACTCATTGACTTGTTCTTGATTTCTATAAAGGGCTCATCTCTGTACATGTACATGTTTTTCTTTAACTGTATTCAGTATTGTCTCATTTTTTTACATTTCTTTTTTTCCATAATTTTATTGAGAAACAAATAACAATGAGACAGTTTCAAATCAAATTGGTAGGACAGTTTCAATAATTAACACATTGCATACATTCGTTCTAGTGGTTAATTGCTGTACAAGATGCGGAC